TTTCTTTTAATTTGTCAGAAAGCCTTAAATAATATCCAACAGTTTCTGTTTGTTCACAGAAGATCTATTCTTTAAATTCCATAATAATATCAAGAATTTCACTTTCTCTTTTTTGAAATTCATAGTCATAATCATAATTTTTGGTCAAAACAGAAACAACTTCTCTTTCCGAATCTCTGATCTTGAAACTTTGACTTTTGAAATTAGACATGATGGATATTGAATTCTTATCAAAAGTTAAAAGCTGTCTGATAGGCTTTAGTAATTTATTCAACGTATATTAATAGCATATATACTCAATACTGTAAGAATTATTGACCTTTATATATCTCATTACTATCGAGAAAGCAAGTTTTTTATTTCTACTATTTTATATATATTAAACTATATACGTAGTATATATTACTGTATATATATATGGCATATTGCAGATCTTGTATATTCCTTAAACTTCTTTAATAAATTTAAATTTGCTCGTAAAATTGTTATTTTTTAAAAAAAAACTTAAAATTCAGTGTACCAAAATCAAAGAAAATTTGATGTAAATCATAAATACAATAAAAGAGTAACTTGGTGATCAAAATTTACAAATGTAAAATAAAATGTGTGAACAAATAAAAACTGAGCATTTCGCAAGATACAGTAGAGTCAGAATGTGAATATTTACTCCTTTTTACCTTCAAAAATATTATACCAGTTTTTAAATAGTTCTCTTCAATTTTTTTCATTTCTCTTCTCAGTTCTTGCTACCGATCAATTTTTTCAAAATATTTTTTTTAAGTCCTAATTGTGCCAATTGTTCGATTTTTGCTATATAATATTTTATCCGTATCACCTGATAAATCCTGTAATTATCCTATATGTCTGACAGAAAAAAAAAACCCGCCTGCTGAACGATTTTTCGGATTCCATGTAATGCAAAATGAAAAATTAACTTTGCGTGGCCTAAACAAAAGAAACTGAATTGAATCTGAATAATCTGAACACTTTATCGTAAGGATAGGAATAATAAAGTCATTAACTAATCGACTAAATTTTTGAATCTAAATGAAAAGTTGGATAATACAGTAGTCTGTTATTCCTTCTAAATATTTCTAACACTAAGATTTCATATATATCATTATTGCACTTTGCAAAAAAGTGTAACCCTACAATTTTCGTGATAACGATAATAAGAAATTTCGGAGATTCTAAATACTCTACCAATCATATATTCAATCAATAATATTTCTATCTATTTGAAATCTGTGGGGGTCACACTTTTTTGCAAAGCGCAATAATTCTAGCGCGGGAACTTTTTAAAAAAATTGCATACAGTAATGTATAGCTATTGGATGCGAAGCAGCCAATAACGGAAATTATTTGGAAAATAACTTATTATCTGGCTGTTAAGTTTAATATGTCAGCTTCAGTTGTTGGCTGGGTAGCATTCAATAACTGTATTATCCGGTGTCTTACTATGATCGTACCAACAGAATGACTCGAGTTCTTTTGGTTATGATTGCGTCATCATCAAATAAC